GGCCCACTCCTCAGTCCCACTCCATTCCTTATTGCTCAGTCTAGGCGGCCTCTCTTTGAGTCACACAAAGACAATGTCCTCGCCACATGTGAGCCTTTCCCTACACATGGAGGTCCCACCCTCCTTTCCATACTGCCACAAATGGTTTGTTGCTTTTTGTTGTTGAAAATTTTTTTCATTTAAATATAATTAAATCTAGCAGGTTCTTCATCAAACAATGCTTTCATTGTTTCTATAAGTTAACAATTTGTCTTCTTTCCACATTTGGGATAAATACATATATTATTCCACTTTTCCTCTAACATTTTAAGAAATATATTTAACTCACTGATAGTATGTCTTTCTAAATTGATTTTCTAAATTCTTTCTAAATTTATTTTTCTCCATACTATATTACATTTTCCCCAACAGCATTTCTCTAATTCTTTCCCTTGTTATTTAATATCAATAGATGCAGCGTAGGTAATTATTTTTGTATGTATTTCCATCTATTGTAGTGGTCTTTGTCCTGTTCCCCTAGTGTGTTTTTCTCTTTCTGTTGCCTAGTAGCAGACAGCTTCAATAACTGTCATTTTATAATGTATTTTAAAGACATCTGTAGGAGCAAGTTTCCCCTTGTCAGCATTTAAAAATAAACACTTTGGGAATCTTGCCCATTTTCCCCCACATGTGCTTTACTATTATTTTGTCTGTTTATAGAAAATATTCCATTGGTAATATGTAGAACCTACATGTGAACTACAGAATATTATCATCTTAACTGTGGTCACTCTTCCCAGCAGTGAACATACTCCTCCAGAATGTTTAGTATTCCTTTATTTAGGCCACTAAAGTTTTATAGTTTTCTTTATAAAGGCTTTGTTTTTTTACTTTGGTACTTTGATATTTATATGTATGTGTATATAGATATGTATGTATGTGTATATGTATATACATATATACATGTATACATGCATATACATATATACACATGTATACATGCACACACATACATACACGTGTATATATACATGTGTATACATATGTATATATACATATGTGTATATATACATATGTGTATATATATATATCATCATTTTTGTTGCTATAGAAGTGTAATGATAGCACTCATTTGGTGCTTTACAAATATACCTCATCTCATTCTCACAATAACCCTGGGAGGTAGGTGCTATTATTACCTGCATTTTACATGTGAGGAAACTGAGGCAGTAGAAGGTAAGTGACTTCCCCAGGGTCACACAGGTGGTAAATATCTCATGGTGGATTTGAATTCAAGTCTTCCTGACTTCAGGTTTAGCACTCTTATCTATGGCACACCTGGATATGAATCCTACTTGAGACACTTGCTAGCTGTGTGACCCTGGGCAAATCAATTAACCTTTCTGGTATTCAGTTCATTGATAAAATGAAGGCTTTGAACTCAATGACTTTGAAGGTTACTTCCAACTCTAAATCTGTGATCCTGTGAATATAAGTTTAGAAGAACAATAATAATGATAATAATAAAATTCTACCAAATGATAATATAAAAGGCACATTTTAATGTATTACAAAGGGTATGTTTTTCAGTGTTGGGATTTTTTGGTTTGTTTTGAAAATAAGAACATACCTGTCTTACTGAAGGAATTAAGCAACATACCATCTTTCTCTGTTTATAAAGAGTTTGTGTAATAGAGGAATGATTTATTTGAACTTCTGAAGAAATTCTCCTGAGAGCCAATCTGACTGGGAGGGTTTTCTTAGGAGTAGGAGGAAGAACAGTTTAAATTACTTTATCTCCTTCTCTTAAACTGTCCAATTCTAGTCATCTATTTTCTATTGAATCAGTTCTGGTATTTTGTATATAACAATAAGGAACTGCTGTTGGGTAGTGCCGTCTGGGGTGGTTCATGTTCTCTGTCTTGACTAAGAGCCTTTCTCAGCTCTGACTCAGACATATGTATCCTGAGATCGGTCCTTAGGGAGCCTGGCCTTCAAAGAGATGGGGCAAGTTCTTTCAGATTCTTTGGCTTTTTATACCCCAACTCTGGAGACCCCAGGGATAATACCTTAAAGCTTAGGTTTCATCTCACATTTAGAGTTTCCCCAAAAAAGGGAGAGTAGGAAGGTACTCAGTGTACAATAACAATCCAGGTATAGGTCAGCTATTTATTTCCTCTTACTTACAAATGTTTACCACATAATACCCACAAGTTCTAACTACTATTATACTCTCCAGGAAGGTTGATACTTATTTAAATATCAGCACATGATGCAGTTTGCAGAACTACTGAATATTCTACCTTGGCTTTTTACTGTCCATTCAGTTCCCTTCAGGTCCATGCCTTCTGGCAAGGCAATCCAGGCCTTGGACTTCCCTCCTAGTGATGGTCCATCTCCTCTAAGAAGCTCTGTACTGAATGGAGAAAGGGGACTTGCTGTGTCTACTGAGGACCCAGGATCTCTGGATTTCTGAAACTTCCAGGCAAAAAACGTTCCCCTCAAAATCACTGCTCAGCCACATCAGATCGGGCAAAGAGACAAAGAAGAAAAGGTAGCTAGAACTTTGAGATCCAGCCTTAGGTTTGAATGCCTTGGGCAGTACATGTGGTTTAGCTGCCATGTGCTCCTCTCCAGAATGGTTGGATCAGTTCACAACTCCATCAACAATGCATTAGTGTTCCAATTTTCCCACATCTTTTCCAACATTTATAATTTTCCTTTTGTGTCATATGACCCAGTCTGATAAATGAGGTGGTACCTCAGAGTTGTTTTAATTTGCATTTCTCTAATCAATAGCGAGAACATTTTTTTCATATGACTATAAATAGACCAAGTTCTTTCATAAGGCAAATATGGGGCTAATACTTAAACCATCAAAGAATGAAAAAAACTATTGACCAATATCATTAATGAGTTTTGATACAAAAAATTTAAATAAAATCTTAGCAGTCAACATGGTATAGTGCAGGGGTGTCAAACTCAAATAGAATTGGACCCCTGTTGGCTGTATATTGACTTAGAAAACCATAAATCTACATTATCTATGCCTTTATTTATTTTGTTAAACATTTTCAATTACATTTTAATCTGGTTCTGGCTAATTTAATTTAATCTGGTTATAGGCCCCCTGTGAGTTTTGACACCTATGGTGTTGTTTTTTGTCCTTCTTTTTTTTAAGAGGACCAGTGACATTATGGGATAATGTCTTGAACTCATTTGTAAATTGGATTTAAGTCAAGATGACTGGTGATGCCCAATACAGTGGATGACTTTGGCATCTTTGATGTCTTACCAAGCTCTAATTACTTCAGCTGCCTTCATGGTGGGGGAGGGAGGAAGTCTTCCTGTGTTTGGGGTAGACACCCTGGTAGACACCAAGGGTAGATGAGCAGCCCTCACACCAAAGGTGCTAGTCATCCTTGAACATCCCATACACCCTACCTTTGGTGTGGTGAGTGGGTACATAGCTGGCTTCAAAGCCCCAGGAACTGGAATTTACTTCCCAACTTTGACATATACTGGCTGTATAACTGTGGGCAAGTCATGTAATCTCTAGGCAACTCTCTAAGCCTCTAAATTGCACCGCAAGAGGGAACTGCCTTACCTGGAACCACCCTATACCAATGAGATCACAGGTCCAGGTCCTAAAAAGGCCCTGGGTCTATAACTACAAAAATAATCTTCTATTTCTATTTTGTATTAAGTGACTCAATGTTAGGAAAATAATGTAATCATACTAAAAACACTCAAAACCACAAGCTAAGGAGTGAAAAAAAATTTATTACGCGCCTACTGTGGCAAGTACTGGGGATAACTCAAGACAGTTCCTGGTCTCTAGAAGCTCACCTTCTAATCTGGGTAAACAACATATAAAAGAAGGTTCATCTCCAGGGCAGATGGAAAAGCCCAACACAAAAATAAAGAGAAATTTGGTACAGATTACCCCCCCCCATTCCCCTTCTTATCCTAGGTGTATTAGTGTTGCCTGTGCAGAAGCTTTTTAGTCCACAGATTGTAGGGTTTTGCTTTTTTACCCAATCCGTCATTCTTTTTCATTTTGTTGGATTTTTAAAATCCATTCAGATTTAATTGGGTTTATATTTTCCTCCATAATCTAATTTTTAAAAAAATTATGATTCCCCGCTAATACATTGTTGGTGGAGTTGCGAAATGATCCAACCATTTTGGAGAACAATTTGGAACTATGCTCAAAGGGCTACAAAAATGTGCATACCCTTTGACCCAGCAATAGCACTTCTAGGGCTATATCCCAAAGAGATCAAACAAATGGGAAAAGGACCCACATGTACAAAAATATTCATAGCAGCTCTTTTTGTGGTGGCAAAGAATTGGAAATTGAGAGGATGCCCATCAATTGGGGAATGGCTGAGCAAGTTGTGGTATATGAATGTAATGGAATACTATTGTGCTATAGAAATGATGAACATGCTGACTTCAGAAAAACCTGGAAAGACTTATATGGTCTGATGCTGAGTGAAAGGAGCAGAACCAAGAGGACTTTGTACACAATAACAGCCACGTTATGCAATGACTAAGATTGTTAAACTGAACCCTTCTCAGCATTATGAGGATCTAAGATATCTCCAGAGGCATCGGGATGGAAAATGCTGTCCACATCCAAAGAAAGAACTATGGAAGTCCAATCGCTATCACTTATTTTTTACCTTCTGTTGAGTTTTGTTTCATCTTTCTGATGGTTCCTCCTATTGGTTTTAATTTTTACTTACAACTTCACTAATGTGAAAATATGTTTCATGGGTATGTAAATGTAAAGCCTATGTCAGATTGTGCGCCGTCTTGGGGAGGGTGGGGGGGAGGAAAAGGGAGAAAAATTTTCAACTCAAAAGCATATAGAAAAAAAACATAAAAAGAAAAAAAATTAAAGGACAAAGGAATGAGGTAATCACAACTATGACCAGGGACATAATTGCTACCAAAACAAGCAATAAAGATGATCATAAAAATTTTTTTAAAAATTATGATTCCCTACCCCCTTCTGCTGTTCCTTCAGTTTCTTTAATCTTTTTTTCAAAGGTGGTCCTGTCCCCACTGGCTCTCTTCTCCTCACCTCAGATCCTCTATTCTCCTTTGTTACCCCTTTCCCTTTAAGGTTTTGTTTGTTTCTCTCTCTTGCTTTTAATTGATTACATATTTCTACCCACTCTTTTTTCCTCTCAGTGAGTCAGACAATTTCTCCTTCCTCCCCACCTCTTTAGTTAGTCCTGTTCATTAGTTTTCTAAAAGCCAGCATTCTCCCTTCCTTCCTCCCTCATTTTGGCAGCAATCTGGGGGGGAAGAGTCATAAGGCAGGGGGACCAACTACAAAGATATTCGACAGTGAAGCCTGCACCTGGGTGGTCCCAGTGTGAGCTGAGGGAAGAGGAGGCTTATGGGAAAGATGCTGAGGAAATAGAAAAGCCTGGATATGGCGAGTGAATGGCAGGGGCGGAGGCGGGGGGAGCGAATGAGGGAGAGGAGTCGAGGATGACAGTGAGCATCAGTGACTGCGGGAAGATGCCCATGGGCACAGAAGGGATGGATTTGGCGAGGTGGGGAAGATAATAAATTCCTCACCAGATACGTGCAATCATTAATTGATAATTCTACCGTTTGGCCCAGACTCATCTCGCGCCTCCCGCTAGGGAGTGGCTGATTGCTTCCTCCTCCCGCTCCTTCTCCCCCGCCCGGGAATCTTTGATTGGCCCCGTTGCTCCTCCCCCTCCAGACCATCCACGGCTCCAGAGGGCAATGATTGGTTCCCTGGACCGCTTCTGAGAACCTCGCCCCCATCTCCGAGGTGTTGATTGGTCTCTCATCCTTTTTCTTAGGATAGGCGGGGCCAACCAGACCTCCTAGTGACTGAAACCCTGAGTTCAGATATAAAACAACAAAATGGCGATTTCCCGTCTTAGGCGCCACAGGAAATGATGGATTGGAGAGTTTATATGTGCAGGGAGGAATGTGATGGAGTCCAGTTTTGTCCACTTGATCTCCTAGGCGACTGCAGGCTTCGCGCTTAAATGTGGGGCGTGGCTAGGGAAATGACTCCTGGCGGCCAATCGGGTCCTCCAGCTCCTCTGTGAAGCGAAGGCTGTGTGTCGGGGGATTCTGGGATTCGTAGTTTCTGTTTTAAAAAAAGCCACTCCGCGCAGGCGCAGGCGCATTCTTCAGGCTAAGGATGCGCGCGGGTTTTAGTCGCCATTAGAATAGCACAGATTTAGGGACCTGGGCTCCGGTCCTCGGAGGTAGCTCCGCGTATGACGAAGCGGGGCAGAGCCCTTTTACCAGGTACTTGGGCACCTAGAGGAGGTTTCGGGGCTCGACATTTGGGGAGTGGGGCTGACGGCCTCTGAAGCTTCTTGGTCAGTGAGGCCGCGGGATGCGGAGGCCTGTGGAGCATCAAGGGGCGGGGCCTCTGGGGGAGAGGCGTGAGGGGGCGGGGTCGCTGGGGGAGAGGCATCTAGGGGTCCGGGGCTGGAGGCCGCTGGGGGGGAGGCTTGAGGGGGCGGGGCCGCTGGGAGAGAGGCATTAAGGGGCCAGGGGGGCGCTGCTGGGGGAGAGGCATTAAAGAGTCCGGGGGTGGAGGCCTCTCGGGGGGAGAGGCTTTAAGGGGGCGGGATGTTGGGGAGGGAGGTGTGAGGGGCTGGGTCTTGACTGGAGAGGGAAGGGAACCTTTTGGGGGAGGAGAAGGAAGATTGCGGGGGTCTGTTGGGGGACAAGGGAGGGAGGGTCGCTTGGATGGGGGGGCATCAGAGGTAGTGTGTTTGGTGTGAGGAGCGTTTGGTCCAGGTCTCTCCGACACCTGAAGACTTCTGAGGAAGCATCTGGAGCGGGGGCCTCGGGAAGGAGGGCGGGGTCACTGGAGGGCAACCGCATTGCAGTACTAACCGAGGGGGGTAGAGTCTCAAGGCTTCTGCAGGATTGGGGCAGGAACACTGTGGATGTGAAGAGGAGGCCCTGGCTATTTGTGAAAGGAGCACTGTAAGAACAGGGCAGGGTTATGGAAGCATGAAAAACTCGGGGCCTAGATGACACCTTAAGGTCCTTCCTGGCCCTAAACCAGTGAATCTTTGAAGCTGTGAAGAACATGGGAGAAAGGCCTCATCAGCAAGAGGAAGGAATTGAGAGTGAGAAGGTATTGGGTCAGAGCCAGCCTAGGGACATAAGGAACTGTTTTATTGTATGGATGATAGATTTAGGACAGAAAGGGACAGAATTTTGAGTCCAACCCCCTCGTTTTACTGGTGAGGACACTAAGGTTCAAGTCCTCACAAATAAGTGGCACCTTCTGACTCCAAGTCCTGGGCCCTTTAATATACATCCATGCCCAATCAAGGAGATGGGGCATTAGAAGGGAAAAGGAGGGTGGGGTGGAGGAGATCTCTGCTTTGGGATGGCAGCTGTGGGGTGAATAGTCTTGGGAACTTAGACTGGAGGATCTGATTGGTTTCTCTTTTCCCACTGATTTATTTGCCACTGTGACAGGATGCTTTAGTATGGGGAAAGTTTTCCCTGTAGGATTTGAGACCTGGAATGAAACCTGAAACAAGGGGTTTCTTTTTCTTTTTTAAAAAAAAATCACGAATTTCCTTAGTTGAAGTTTCCCTCTGGTCCCTCATTGTGGTGGGAAATGACCCTGGTTATCTCTGAGGTTATGTCAAGTTGTAAGTAATTGTAAGCTGTGAAGACTGCTACTAAAGTGGAACATCTTCATATATTGTTCCAGAAAGGGACTTGTCTGCCCTTGTCGTTGTCATCATCATCATCATCATCATCATCATCATCATCATAGCTAACATTTCTATAGTGTCATCATCACCATTATCATCAGCGTCATCATAGCTAACATTTCTATATAAAATATTTTTTATAGGTTTGCAAAGTGCTTTAGGTATATCATTTCACTGATGTGGATACTCTCTCCACTGATACAAAATCATGGCGTCTCCAGATCCTGACTTACATTGTTATGCCCCTTCATGCACTTGGCATTCAGCCAAACTTCAGGACTTTGTGTTCCTTGAACTCTGCTGGCAGCAGGCTCAGGACCCATAGTCATCTCCACAACATAATGAGGTCACAGGATCAGAGGATATAGAAATGGAAGAGATTGCAGAGATCATCTAATCTAACTTTCTTATTTATTAGTGAAGAAACTGTCCCAGGAATGTTATGTGACATATCCAAGATGATTAAACTTTCAAATGTTGGGTTTTTTTGAAGCCTGTAGCATTTACAGACACTTGATCATATAGCCAGTGGAGAGGGGGAGCAGAGCCAGGACATGTACCTGAGTCTTCTAATTTCAAATCCAGTACTCTTTCCATTCTACTATGTTTCCTTGATGTAGTATCTTTCATGTAATACATCATAGGTTGTTTAACTATGTCCCTGTGGCTTGATCCATTGACACTGGCCTCCTTGGTGTTCTTTGCACTAGATTCTCCATCTCCCAGCTCCATGCATTTTCACTGGCTGTCCCCCATGCCTGGAACTCTCTCTCTCCTCGTTTCTACTTCTACCTTCTCTGACTTCCTTCAGATCCTAGCTAAAATCCCACTTTCTACAGGAAGCCTTTTTCTGATCTCTTTCTTAATGCTTAATTGCTATTTGCAGTTTATCCTGTGTGTAGCTTGTTTGTTGTTTGCACCTCAGCTTCCCTATTAGACTGTGACAAGGACTGGGTTTTTTTGCCTTTTTTTGTATCCCCAGTGCTTAACACAGTGCCTGGCATATAGTAGACACTTAATGAATGCTTATTGACTGACTGCTGTTGGCTGTGTGTTTCTCCCTACAGTGGGCCTTAGTAGAATGTGTGCTGCTCAGCTTGTGTCTGAAGGAGATACAGATATGAATGCCACAGTGGAAGGGAAAGATGCTGGAGAGACTGCATCCTTGAATGAGGCAATGACCACTTCCCCAAGTGCTCAAGTTACACCTTCCGGTGAACAAAATAAAGTCCCGAGTGCAGAGGACCCTGGGGAGCAAGAAACCAGCCGAGGAAGAGACACATTAGACCCTGCAGTCTCTCATCAGAACTTGAGATGGTTTCAGCGCCCTGGAGTAGCTCCACCCCAAGACGAGGAGCTGAGCCAAATCCGGGAGCTCTGTATGCAGTGGATGGATCCTGAGACTCATGCCAAAGAGGATGTTCTGGATATGCTGGTGCTGGATCAATATGTGATTGTCCTGCCCAGAGAAATCATGACTTGGGTAAAGTCACAGCCTTCGGAGAACAGTGAGGAGGTAGAGATCCTCTTGGAAGATTTGAGCCAGATGTTTGAGGACAATGGTAAGAATTTCAGAAGGATGGAGAGAGAAGAAATCCTTCCCAGGGCATAAGAGGAAATTAGGCCTTGAAGCCAGAATAGGGCAAAGGATCATTTGGTGAGAATGTTGCCCTTGAGATCAGTGATTGAGAAGGTATAGGCCTCACATATCACTTAGTAGAGCCCAATCTTCCCCATGGAATAACTTGGCATAACAGCCCATGAAGAGAAGGAAACCATGGAGTTAGAAAGGCTGTGTCTTAATTATCTTTTGTGTGGCAAGATAGAGGGACAGCCCAATGGTTAGGCTTATTTGAAAGATTTATGCCATTATGCCCATAAACTCTTAGAATCGGTCTCAGTAATACTAATTCTCTAAAGTACTTCATGTGTAGATCATGTATGGTCACCTTCATTTTCCAGTGAAGGGGTCAAAGAACATATAAATGGTCACATGATTTCTTCAAATTGGTTAAGCCAAAGTCAAGAGCCCCATTCCTCCCATCATTTACTCTTTTGGTGAACCATACTGCTTTTCTGATGGAAAATGTTCATTTTACTATCTGTGAAGTTCTTTTCCCTAGCTGGATCAGTGCATTGATTCATCATGTTATGTAAGATAGGAAATATTTGAAAAAGTTTCTCTATAAAAGAGGTAATTGTGTTACAGAGAGGTTGAGTTAAACTTTCATATTACTGAGTGATTTAGAGACAGAGCTATGAGTTTAATGTGCACATCCTGATTCGTAGAGCAGAACTCCGTCCCTTGGACCCTACCATGACCCCTGAGTCAGAATTGGGAGCCTATCTGTCTCCTTTCTTTCACTCCTTTCCTCAGTTCTAAGGGTAACTGGGGGCTGTTCCTAAATGACTTCTGTCCTTATTCTGTAAAAGGTGTGTTTAGAGGAATTTCTAGCCTCATGAGCATTGGGTCTATGAGGCCAGATTGGGTTTCCTTATAGCTTCATGTTCTTTCCGCAGTCCTACCTTCTCAGGACTCTGCTGTTTCCCAGGATCAGAGCTCTGCAGAAGAGGGAGCAGCTTCTAGGCCCTTGCCAGATGAATCCCAGGTGAGTGGGAGCCTTAGTTCTTTCCTGACATGCCATGCAGAACCTGCATTCTTCAGGTGAAGATTTATTTCCTTTCTGTGTCCTAGAATTAAGGCATTGGGCCATACTATTAGATCAGTCATGTCAAACTCCAATAGAATTGGGGCCACAGGATTCCTGTAGGCCACATATTGACTTAGAAAATCACAAATGAACATTACTTATGTTCTATTGTATTTTTATTTATTGAATATTTCCCAATTACATTTAAGTCTGATTTGGGGCCATTTGTTGGACACCACTGTAGTAAATAGTATTAATTATGTAGAGTGATCTCGACTTCTTCTCTTAGTGACCTTTTCCTCTCTAGTTAATGTTCACTTCTTAATTTAGTAGAATGTAAGCCCCAAGAAGGTGGAGACTGTTTTATTTTTGTCTTTGCTTAGTGCAGTGCCTTTCATGTACTAGGCACTTAATAAGTGTTTGTTCAATTGAATTCAACAAATAATTCAGGCTTCTTGTATACATTGAACTGTACCAGGTGCTGGGAGGGATACAGAAAATAAAATAGAAAAGTAGTCCTTCCATCAAGGGGCTTGAATTCTCATTGGAGAGAACAGGTGAACATATTTTTCACAGTTAAGGACTTCCTTGTATTGTTTTTAAATACAGAAATGAGCTGGTACAGGCCATAGATGCTCTATGGGTTGAGATTGGCAGATGAGTGTGAGCTGGAATAGTCAGGGAAATCAAATGGAGGAGATAGACTTTTTGGTATTGTTTGTCCCTTGTTCTCGAAGAGGACCATGGCATCAGGAGGGTAATGCTGTGACTTGCAAGTGAATTGGATTTAAATGAGGAGGGCTGTGCGAAGTCACCACCCTCACTCACTCCTCCAGAGCCATCTGGGTTCAGTGGTAAGATATCAGGTAGACTTTAAGTTTGACCTGAAGGAAGGGTAGGAGCCAGTTAGTTGGAAATGAAGGTGACAAGATTCTAGATGGGGAGAAAATCATGAGCAGAGGGTGAGATGGGTAAACTCGTATATCTATCCTGGCTGGAACAGATGGTTCTTTTGGGATGGGAAGAGTGGAGCAGTCTAGCATAGGGTCCCCCTAGACTTTCTCTCCTACCTCCAGAGTCAGGGTGACTTCATGTCTTCAACCCTGCAGGCTCACTCCATGTCAGTCCCGTAGGCTTCTGGATGTTCCCTTGAAAGCCATGTTTTCTACAAAGCAAAATGTATAGTAGAGAGTCAATCATTATTTGACTTAAAATGCACAAAACTCTTTTTTTTTTATACTGTGAGAACCAGTTATTAATAGCATTACCTTCTGGAGGGTCCCAGGTCCTTACAGAGAGGCTAGTTCTTGAGTAAGTGGGAATGTTTTTGGTGTTTAGGACTCTGTGACATTTAAGGATGTGGCTGTAATGTTCAGTCGGAAGGAATGGTGGCATTTGCAGCCAGCCCAGATGGAGCTGTACAGAGATGTGATGCTGGAGAACTACAAAAACATGGTCTCTGTGGGTAAGGACAGTCTTCCTGTGTGACTCTTCCCGCTAACCCTAACCCTAAATGCTCACTTCTTCCTTTATTAAAGGTTATAGAGCCACTGAAAGAATTAGCTGATGCCTGACTTGATGTACAGGGATCTCCCTCATTTCTTGGGCACCAAGTATGCTTCTACTCCTTTTCCTGGGTGAAGGGACTTGGAGTTGTCATAAGCATTACAGACTGGCAGATTCGTTGTGCTGCCTCTGAGGCTCTGTCTCTTCTAGCTTCTGTTTTCCCAGAGTATTCACAAAAAGGGCCCAACAGGGGGCAGCTGGGTGGCACAGTGGATAGAGCACTGGCCCTGGATTCAGGAGGACCTGAGTTCAAATCCAGCCTCAGACACATAACACTTACTAGCTGTGTGACCCTGGGCAAGTCACATAACCCCATTGCCTAACCAAATTTAAAAAAAAAAAAGAAGAAGAAAAATGGCCTAACAGGGAGGACAGACAATTTATTTTGCTTTAAATTTGCTTTCATATTCAATTTGCTTTCAAATGAACTCTGTGACCTGTTAACTCCCTGTTCCTGCCTTCCCCCTTTTTGTGTCCTAATGCTGAGTCCCTCCAGTGCTCTTTTATACTCTCCTCGGCCCTGTTCCTTGCATGTTCTTGATTCTTTGATGAGGAAGGGGCAAAGATTGCAATCTGAGGTGGATCTTTATGCCCTTCGCATTTCTTTGTCCCTGAGCAGGGCTTCTTACTTCTAAGCCAGAGCTGATAGCCCAGCTGGAGAGAGGGGAAGCGCCGTGGATGCGGAGCAGGAATGTCCCCAGAGGTCCTGGTGCAGGTGAGTGAGGGAGAACTAGGCCAATGAATCCTTGCAAAGAAGATCCAGCTTTTTTTCAGTTGGGAAGTGTTGGTCTGGCACCTTTCCTTGAAGCCCCTTAGGCAGTGGAGAGGCCTCAGGTTGTCCAGCATTAGCTCCTGCCTTGTGTCCTTATCTTTACCCCAGCACGTTATTTTCCTACCTTCTCTCATAAGTCACTCTAGGTTGAGAGAAGTAGTGTCACTTCTCCTGTTTGAAACTAGCCCTTCCACAGGTACTCTGGGTTCTATCACATTCTGCTTCCTTAGGGACACTGTCCCTGTGGAAATTCCTGCTTCTAGCATGCTACAAACTCACAAAAAATAATTTTGAAGTTTAATTAAATTTTTTTAGACTTAGTTTTGTGAATTTTGAATGTTAATTTTAACAAGATGGTGCACACTGTCATTATGCGCTTGCATCTATGACAATTTCAGGATAACACTTTCTCAGACCATCAGATCAATAGAGGGAGTTTACTTGCTTGGCCACTTTGGTCACCTGATCTGTATTCACTAGACTTTTTCTTGTGGGATCACATCAAAACTATCATGTATGTATGAACCAAAATGTCACTTTTTGGATGATTTTAAGACTAGGATTACAAACACAGACCTTTCAGTCTGATTAGCAGTAACTGAGGAAAGCTTTTACAAAATTTGCAGATCAACTAGAGTGATATTTTGCATGACAGTGGTTATATGGGATTTTTATAAGAAACATCAGTATTTAAAAATTTAAGTGATTAACCTTTCAGAATTTTTTAAGGTGTGTAGCATTTGTACTTCTGAAGTTATTAAAGCTTAAAACTGCCCCAAGACTTTTGGGATACCCTGTATTTTGATCTGCTCTATGTTTTTTTTATTTGAATTTTTACTTTTTAATAACTTGAAATTAAATTTTATTTTTTTCACTGAACCAAAATTTGCCATTTCTCCTTCCTACTTTGCCTCCCCTCACTGCAAAAGAAAGAAAAGGCCCTTATAACAAATAATAATCAAACAAAACAAATTCCCACATTGGCCATGTTCAAAAACTGTGTTTCATTTTGTGTTCTGAGTCTATCACCTTTCTGCCTGGAGGTGGGTACCATGTTTCATCATGAGTCTCCAGTTGGTCAAAGTCTTTTAAAGTTGTTTGTTTTTTCAACATTGTTGTTATTGTATAAATTGTTCTCCTGGTTCAGCTTACTTCTCTCATCATTAGTTCATAATACATCTTCCCAGATTTCTCTGAAACTGTTTCTTTCATCATTTCTTTTCAAAACAGTAGTATTTATTCTCATGGCATATCATATTCATTTACCATCACTCGTCCAGCCATTTGGCACCATCTTAGTTTCCAGTTTTTTGCCATCATGAAAAGAGCTGCTATAAGTATTTTTGTACATATAGATCCATTTATTCTTTCTTTGATCTCCTTTGGATATAGACCTAGTAATAATATCACTGAGTGCATAGTTGAATAATTTTTTGGACATAGTTCCAAATGGTTTTCTAGAATAGCTGGGCTAGTTAACACCTCAGCTGGTAGTGTATCAGCCTATTTTCCCACAGCCCCTTCAGCAATTGTCATTTTCTTTTCTTGCCAGCTTTGACAGTTGATAGGTATGAGGTGCAACCTCAAGTTGTTTTAATGTGCATTTCTCTAATTATTGGTTGTTTAAAGCATTTTTTCCATATAGCTTTTGATAGCTTGGATTTCTTTCTCTGAAAACTGATATTCACATTCGTTGATCAGTATTAATCAGGGAGTGGCTCTTATAAATTTGAACCGGTTCCCTGTATTGCCTTATATTTTTTAAAAAGACATTTGCTTGATTCTACCCATTCCAGGTATCTTCTACTTTCTTTCATTCTTTTCATTGACATATTTCTTAGCTGTGTTGTGCACTTATGTGCCTAAGGTCACATTGAGGCAGTAAGTGGTAGAACCAGGACTCAAGCTCGGGGGATAATAATATTTGTGCTACCTTCTTCAGAATTGTGAGATCAGTCGTGATCATTTCAACAAAGGGTTTTCAATTCTAGATTGTTGTATAAATGTCAATTATCAGTATTCTTAGTCTGACTCCTTTTAAATGTGTTGTATCTGTTACAGTGTCTTTACTGCTGGGTTACTTACCATAGCTTTCTAATATCGGGACCTTCCAGAGGCTAACAGAGAATGGCTTAGAAACTTGAGGGCAGACAGAATCATTGAAGGTGCTGGGGAAGATGAAAAAGACTCAGGGGAAGAGGTTTGCATAGGAGTACTGCTTTGCCCTCCAACCTTTTCTCCCAAAGTAGCAAGGGTGCTGCTTCTGCTCCTAATATTAGCCAAAGAGTTCACTCTTGTCCTTGTCCCCAACACACTAGGAAATGTACTCGGCAGCTCTCTTAAAAACAGAATAAAGAATAACTCTGAGCCTGAAAAAGTCAGAGTGCCTAGAATTTAACCGTAAAGTTTTAGTTAGCTTTTGTTCATTGTTTCATTGTTCTCATGACCCTCAGAAATGTATTTATACTAAGTAATGAGGAATTATTGTTTCCTTTTTCTTCAACAAAGTGTGAGGGACATTTACATATTTTATTTCTTTCAGGTTCAGAGACCAGGTTTGTTACAAAAGAATCAGCTCCAAAACCGGGCATTTATTTGAAAGACCCATCTCAGGAAAGGCTCTCGAGAGATGGTCCCTGTGCCTCTACATTGGGAGGAGCCTGGAAATGTGAGGAAAAGCAGCAAGACAACCAAGAAGGACAATCTAGTCAAGTAACAATAGAACAGGAGAAAACATCTAAGGTGAGAAGACCTAGATGCAATATATTTAGGAAATACTTCAGGCCAGGGTCAGGCATTGTTACAAAAAAGAAAGTTCCTACAGGAACAAATCTCCATAAATATACTAAACATAAAATGAGCCTCAAACAGTATTTAGACCTGGTTAGAAGTAAAATGACAACCCCAGAGAAGAAACCTAATTTTAAGGTAAGGCCGAAGACCCGAAGTTACTACTCAAACCTTTTTAAGTCTCGTAGGATACCTCCTGGAAAAAAAGGCTACAAGTGTAAGGCATGTGGGAAAACTTTCATCTACAATTCATCTCTTACTCGACATCTGAGAATTCACACTGGGGAGAAACCCTACAAATGTTATGAATGTAAGAAGAGCTTTAGGCGGCGCTCATTTTTCAATCTACATAAGAGAGTTCATACTGGAGAGAAACCTTTTAAGTGTAATCAGTGTAAGAAAGCTTTCATCCGGGACTCATCCCTTTTTAAGCATCAAATAATTCATACAGGAAAGAGACCCTACAAGTGTAATGAATGTAAGAAAGCCTTTACCCAGAGGGGGCTACTTACTGAACATCAAAGGACTCATACTGGAGAGAAACCCTTTAAATGTGATGTGTGTAAGAAAGACTTCAGTCACAAATCATCCCTTATTCAACATCAGAGAATTCATACTGGAGAAAGAACCTTCAAGTGTAATATATGTGAAAAAGCCTTCAACCAGAGCACACGCCTAACTGAACATAAAAGAATTCATACTGGAGAGAAACCCTATAAGTGTAATAAATGTGAGAAGGCCTTCACTCAAAGAACACATCTCAATGAGCATCAGAGAGTTCATACTGGAGAGAAGCCCTATAAATGTAGTCATTGTGAGAAAGCTTTCAGTAATAGCTCATCCCTTACTCAGCATCTTCGAATTCATACTGGAGAGAAACCTTATAAATGTGATCAATGTGAGAAGGCCTTCAGTCAGAACTCATCCCTTATCATACATCTGAGATTCCATAGTGGGGAAACACCTTTTAAGTGTAAGGACTGTGGAAAGGCCTTCAGCCGTAACTCATCCCTTACGAGGCATCAGAAAACTCATAGTGGGGAGAAACCTTTCAAGTGTAATGAATGTGGGAAAGCCTTTGGTAGGAACTCATCCCTAACTGACCATCAGAAAATCCATACTGGAAAGAAACCTTATAAGTGTAATGAATGTGGGATATCCTTCAATCAGAATACTCGCCTTATTGAACATCAGAGAATACATACTGGAGAGAAGCCCCACAAATGTGATCTGTGTAAGAAAGCCTTCAGGAGTAGTTCAGCTGTTCTCAGGCATCAGAGAATTCATAGTGGAGAATAACAGAGTGGGATCATGCACGGGGAAAGCTTCAGTCACACTTGTCACTTATTAAATACCCCAGAGTCAAATGATCACAATCTGCCCCTTGGGAGTTAGAGAGAGATTTCCCTCTTCCCTGTAGTACACTACCTGCTTTCAAGCCACGGATTTGCATAAGTTGAACAGGAAGGAGCATTGTTATGAGATCTGTAGTAGTAGAAGTACCGAGTCTTCTAAAAATAACTAACAGAAGAAGGAATCTTAAAGTTTCCAACTCTAGTATTAAAACAACTGGGTAATATCTGTGAGTAAAGGGATAAAAGAAAGTCCTGCTAAAGTAAATGCATATTTTAAAAGTATCCCTGTTACTTTTGGTGTGCACAAACTAGTTGTGGGCACATCCCTGTGAAATATCTTCAGATTCTTGTATATTTCACCCTGAAACAAGTTCCTAGTGTTAGGTAGGCTAGTGAAGAGTGGATAGAATTTTTTTCAATTGGGCCTGCCACTAGATCTAGAAGATGGAGGGGATGAGGCAGGACCCCCTAGTTTAAGAGTAAGGAAGATAGAAAGTTGTTTTGGAGCTAAAGAAACTTTGTTTCTTTTTTCTCCCGGACAGTGGTAGGAGTTGTAATAGATACCTTCTTTGGTTTCTTGGCATTCTCTTGTCTCTACCCCAGGGGTTCCAGTGCCCTATGTTGCCTTCTGACTACCCAAAGTCCTTTGCTGTATCCTCTACTCATCCCTAACTTCTTCTACAATGTCTTATGTTCTAGAATTACTGCTTTTCTGCTTCTTCCCATCAGCACTTCCCTTTCCTCAGTGCATCTTAATATGGAAATTCAATTTACACTCCATTCCCAAGATTTACCTTCCAGCCTGTTTCTTGGAGGTTGAACTATGACTTACTGGGTGATATTGCCTCCAAGCTGTGGGCCAAGGGGCCCACAGATTGCAGTCATGCCTGAGCCCAGCCTTTCCAAATCAAGCGTTTTGCTTCTTTGGAATTGGAATAGGAGCAGAGGAGGTGAGCTGAAAGCAGGGTAGATTTTGGGCCATGTGGGGAAATAGGTGCAGTTTTCCTGAGGCCCTCCTTCCTTTTCCTGTTTTTGTCTGCTCCTGTCTTCTCTCCTCAGGGGCCTCTTCTGCTTAATCTTGAATCAGGCATTAGTAACTAAGGGAGCATTTTCTGCAGCATCATAATGGAAGGACCTCCAAGAACATCCAGTCCAACTAGCTCATCTTATCAGTGGTAAAACAGATCCCAGAAGAAGAAAGTGGCCCACTAGGGTCATGTAGGTGATAAGTAGCAGGGTCAGGCTTCAAATACAGGCCCTAAGACTTCAAATCCAATGTTCTTTTCACCATACCCTGTCTCCACTGAGCAGGGAATTCTCAGCATCACCAGGCTAGTTGAAAAAGTGATTGCCATGAAGCCAGGAGGGTCACAATCCTTGCTTTTCTCCCTTAGCCATGGTCTCTTTCCCAGAGTGTTTCCTTTGCTTTAGTTCTATGTTTGTCCCTGTTTTCAAGTTTGTAGTTAGGTCCTCCTCCAGCATCATGATACTTATCATGTTAGAAGTACTTTCCAGGTTACAGAGCACCTTTGTGATGACAACCTGTATAGCTCTCCCCTGCTCAAGGGGCCAGTTATTCATCCCTGTCAAAATCAACCCTGCTCAGGCAGGTATTGGCTAAAAACTCAGGTGTGAGTTGATGGAGAGTTAAATGGTGACTCCCTCACTTATAACTTGAAACAATCAGTGAGATTATAGTTGATAGCTATTTCCCATGGTTTTATTCTCACCTCCTTATAATACCCTGGGGATGGCTGTGGTAACGACAAATTGCCTCACCATGTAGAAACAAACCTCTGCCTGTTTTCTTTGAAACTCAACTCTCTAGATCAAACTGATTTCAGAACCCCAGCAGGCCTTTTGTTTCTCTAGGTTTTAAGCTGTCCCTGTCTCCCATTCTCTTATCTCTGATATTGCTGAATTAGCTGTTAGGATAATTTAGACCGCATTCCCAACTGATTCCAAATTCACCCTTACATCTTGAACTTTTTTGTTTCTTAATGTTGTTCCCTCTATATGTTAGGTTAATTTATGATCTTAAGCTACATTGAGAGGTACAGTGTCCAAAATGATTGAGGTTATAGCCCTACTCACTTCTGCCGTGGGCAGAACCTCTCTCAAATTGTGTGTTCAGTTTGGGGTGTCAGTTTTAAGAACAACTTTGGCAAATTGGAGCACATGCAGAAGAAGGTGATGTGGTTTCTCAAGGTAAAGAGAATGTGCCACAAGAAAAACTATTGAAGGAAATGAATGATGTTTAGCTTAGTTAAGAGAACGTGTTGTCAAGTATTTGAACCAGGAAGGGAGATTCAGCTTATTCTGCTTGGTCCCAGAGAGCAGAATTAGGAGCAGTATGTAGAAAGCATCCCAACTCTGAAATTCCCTAATGTGATTCTCTCTAAACCTTCCTGAAGCCAATTTTACAAAGGTTGTGTAAGCAAAAAAAAGCCAGCTGCAGAAGAAGGATAGCTTTGAGATTCCAACCAGGAAAACTTCCAGCAGTGACCAAAGGAGGTTTTTTCCTACCAAGTGGAGGTAGATAAGACCCTGCTTCAGAGAAGGTAAACTGCTGGAGGACAAACTTTTGGTGCCTTACTTTCCTCATAGCCCTAAGTCTAGGGCCATGCTTGTTTTGGCATCTTCCAAAGACTTATTGATTCATTGATTATAGTCAAAAGATTCTAGTTATTTAAATCCCTTCAAAACCCTTTTGTAAGGAGCCCATAGGAATGTAATCAGTAGAAATCCAACTGTCTAACTCAAACTTTTTTCTTTAAGTCTTTAAGAAGACGGTTTTAATTGGTTAGAGCAACTCTAGCCCTGGCCCTTTTGGCCCCAGTCAGTGCGGACTTGGAGTCCAGGTGTCAAAGAACAGGGGAGCATCTCCAGAACGGGCTGTCTGTTGGAAAGGAATTTTTCCCATCGTATTTTGCCCAATCCAAGGAAATCTATCAGGGCTGAATCAACAGAAGCAGTAAGAGGTTTCAGGATTTCTTTAGTGGCATTGATTCTGGTAGCTTGTGTGGGCTTCAGGAAATACACTCTTCTAGAATCCCAAGGAGACCTTAGGTGTCGTCTAGTCCAACTTGTACCCAAAGCAGGAACTCCTTCTTGAAGCAGGAATCCTTGGCAAGTAAGATTGGAGCAGTGAAAAGAGCCGCTGGATAGAGTTTGAGGACAAGGGCTTAAGTCTGAGGCTCGGTCACTGTCAGTGTGACCTTAGGTAAGTCACTTAACTCCTCACTTGTAAAGTGAGGAGTATGAACTGCAGTTATGTCTAAGGTCCTTCAACTCTCTGTCATCTTTTGCTGAGAGATCCCATTTCTTATTTTCTTTGCTCCATCTGCTTCCACCTTTCATTTTTGGGTACTTCTTCGAGAAGATGTAAGTCTCCTCAGAGTTGTGTTCACTAAAGACTAGACAGCCCAAGCAGTCCTGGTGGATTTGACCCTTCTAAGATTTCAACATTGCCCAAGATGAGACTGGCAGAGCCAGCACTGGGCAGGTAGGCATTGAGGCATGTGTTCAGCCAATGCCAGCTATGATGCACAGATGCTTTTTGGCCCTGTTCTCTTGTCTCCCTGGCCAGCTGTTCTGGCCTCGATTCCATGACTGAAATTTAGCGTTGCTTGTTGGAGACAGAAGGCAGAACGATGAGCCATGAGGCTAAGTTATAGAGACAGTTTCAGGTTCCCTGTAAGGAGGAACTTCCAAACAATAGAGCTGTAGGATGGGCTGCCTGGGGTGAGAGTGGATTCCTCTTTGCTAGAGATGTTCAAGAAGAGGCTGGATGGTTGCTTGTTGGAGATACCATAGAGGGGATCCCCTTTGGAATTTATAGGTTGCACTAGCTATGTTGTGTGAGGGCCATTACAACTCTGAGAATGTGATTCTTCCTCTGTTCACTTGGGCACTTCTGCCCTGGACCAGTTGTAGTTGCTGCCTTCCATCCAAGACCTGTTCATCTGAACTGTATCCACCCATGTCTAGACTGGCCCCATTCTTGGAGAGCTTTCGACAGGCTCCCAGTCGTGCTGTAATCATCAGCTCTATTTGGAAGCTGAGATTCTGATTAATCACTCGTTGTTTAACTAGAATTCTATATAGGAAGCTCACTATGTTTTCTCTGAGATAGAAGCTCTCTGTGTTCTGTGCATTGCTGCTGGCTTTGCTGCTGTAGTGGTTAGCTGTTGTGCTTAGCGGCAAATTTGCGCCTAACGGCCCTAATTGGAGGATTTGTTCTGACTTCCATTGGCTTGCTACATGATCAAGAGAAGCTGTTGATTTATCTTCTGAGCTTGTTCTGCTTCTTTAAAAGGAGCTGTGCCTTTTTTCCCTTCGAATGTCATTGCACAGGAAAGGCAACACCTGCCTAACTAAGATCGGTAAAGAATAAGTGGGAAAGAGGGTAGTGCGGCCCTCTGGTTAGGCCCCACTGGCTGAACCCCGCAGAGTTTGTGCAGGGTCTTATACTTAGTACAAATAGTGGTTTTTGTTGTTGTTTTTTCTTCAAATACTCTTGCACAGGAAGGGCAGTCTGATAGAGCGGAAGAGAGCTGGGTTTGGCGTCACAGGACCTCAGGCATCACTCTTTTCCCCAGCTTCAGATTCCCCACCTGTGAAATGAGCAGCTAGATCAGATGGCTTCTGAGTTCCTGTCTTGTGCTAAAGCTCTGAACTCTGAAGCCACTGAAGTTGAGTTTCCTCCCGTCCCAGCCCTGATGCAGAGGCACTGGGGCATGGTCCAGCTGGCCCTGGGCTTGGTGCCAGAAGACCTAGCTCCGCGTCTCTGCTTTGCCACTTCATGGTTGGGTGGCACTCAACAAGGTAGGTCATAGTTTAGCTTTGATAATAAAGTACGCTAATATACGTAAACTGCTCTGTGAGTTGTAAAACCCTCTATGATGTCAGCTTTAGTAATTGTTGTTGTTTTCTCCTGTAGGAATAGGCTGAGACTTGACTAGGGTGAAAGGGCGTGGTCATCCTGAGAGGCCTCAGAGGCATCTGTGCCTTTAAGTGAGTTCCTCCTCTGACCCTGTGGCCTAAATTTGAGAAGCCCCAGGGCCCCAAGGGTCCTGATTCTGAGAAGCCTTGGGCCCTATCCTGCCGCGGCATCTCTATTTCCTGGGCCTTCTGATGTGGATCTCTTGGATGCTAAGTGCTTTTTTATTCATCCTCCAAGAAATTTGGTGAGCATCTGCAGAGACCACGCCCGAGAAAAGTTTCCAGGGGCGGTCAATGGGTACCTGCTTTCTGGGTATGCTTCATGGGAGGGTAAGGAGAGCAGAACATGGTCTGGGCTGTCCTAGACTTGCTGCTTTCCAGGTAACAGTGACGCAGGTCCTGCCTATCACCAGTAAGGGGAAGAGGGGGTGGGGAAGAGGAGGGTGCCGCCCCTTCGATGTGCCCCACTGGCTGAACCCTGCAGAGTTTATATGTGCTTAATCCAAGTCATGTTTAGTTGAATAAATGTTTAGTTGCAATGATGATGGTCTTTCTGTCTCGTTTCTTACCTGTTTTAAATGAAGAGATCTGATAGGATTTTTTCTTATGTTTTGTGTACAATCCCCTGTTTTCAATATGTTAATCCACTAGGGACACAGAGGGCTTCTGCACCCTGGTGACTTCCCTGTCCTCCCTGTATGGGTCTCCTGTCCCCATCCCCTCCCTCTTTATTCTCCATTTCTCTTTTGGCAGCAGGAAGAGAAATGTAGGTATACACAGAGAAGAATTTGAAGGGGGAAAGGGAAGCATAGTGGGGCTGAAAGGAACTGGAGCAAATGTCTGTCCTTGGAGCTGCAATTAAATCCTAGGACAGTGGCTCTGTCTGAATGTGGTAGGGGATGCCTGGTACTACCCCTAAGTCCTTATGCAGGAGGAGCACCTCCTGGTGGTGTGGGCTTCTGCTGCCCCTGGCTCCCTTCTGAAATCAAGGGAGTTGGATAAGGTGGTTTCTAAGGTTCCCTTCCAGCTCCAAATCCTGTGATCCTGGGAGCCAGTTAGGAAAATGTAGAAATAAGAGAGAGAGAGTGTATGTGTGTGTATGACAGAGAGAGAGAAAGAGAGAGAGAGAGACAGACAGACAGAAAGAGAGAGTGTGTGTATGACAGAGAGAGAGAGACAGACAAAGAGAGAGAGAGTGTGTGTGTATGTGTGTGTATGACAGAGAGAGTGTATGTGTGTATATGACAGAGAGAGACAGAAAGAGAGAGTGTGTGTATGTGTGTGTATGACAGAGACAGACAGAGAGAGAGTGTGTGTGTGTGTATGTGTGTGTATGACAGAGAGAGACAGACAGAAAGAAAGTGTGTGTGTATGTGTGTGTATGACAGAGACAGACAGAAAGAGAGTGTGTGTGTGTGTGTGTGTATGACAGAGAGAGAGACAAAGAGAGAGAAAGTGTGTGTATGACAGAGAGAGAGAGACAGACAGAAAGAGAAAGTGTGTGTGTATGTGTGTGTATGACAGAGAGACAGACCGAAAGAGAGAGTGTGTGTATGTGTGTGTATGACAGAGAGACAGACAGACAGAAAGAGAGTGTGTGTGTGTGTGTGTATGACAGAGAGAGACAGAAAGAGAGAGAGAAAGTGTGTGTGTATGTGTGTGTAAGAGAGAGAGACAGACAGAGAGAGTGTGTGTATGTGTGTGTATGACAGAGAGACAGACAGAAAGAGAGAGAGAGTGTGTGTGTGTATGTGTGTGTATGACAGAGAGAGACTGTATTAGGAGAAGAGCAGTTCTCAAGCATAAAATAAATTTGGGGCTGGGAAAAGAATCTGCCATCATGAAGCCATCTTTAAAGCACTACAAAAGGATTTCCTACTGTTGGGATTCCCCAGGGTAATTTTGGTACAACTTTGACATTGAAAGAAAATCTGCCAGACTCAACGCTGTAGGGGGAGAGCAGAGGGACTAGATTCAGAGTTTAAACCTTTGCTTTGGGATCTCATGACTGATTTTATTTTCAAATATAATTGTCAGTAGCTACTTCTAGGCTTGTTCCTCAGCCTGGCATTAAAGCCCTTCACTTTGTGTTTCTCACCTGATATTCCCTGGCCTTTTTCACTTTGCTCCCCTTTCTTCGTCAGCACTAGCCAGCTTGATGTCCTTCAGCCCCACCCTGGTGGTGCCTCTGCGCGGGGCGTTCCCTGTGCCTGGAATACACTTCCTCCTCATCTCAACCTCTTCAAACTCCTGTCTTTCAAGCTCAGCTCTCGGTTCACCTACTGTGAAGGAAGCCACCGTTCCTCCTCAAATTATGTACGTACTCCTCTGTCTCATGTATTGTTCTCTCTTCAGTAGAATCTGAACTCTTTGAGATCAGTGGCTATTTTTTTCCTTGTTCCCACAGTAACAAACACCAGGCCTCTGTGTCACAGTAGGTGTTTCATAAATATCTGAGAATTGTCTTTCCCAATCTTACCCTAACATGAGGAGTGAGAAGGGGCCCACTTAGAAGGGGGCTGAGCTATCTGCAAAAAGCCTCAAAGAAGGAGATAGAGTCCAGTCTGGTAGGAAGCTTGTACTTGCTGTGATGTCTCCTAGAAACTAAGACCATCTTCTAGGGCCCCAGTATCTGATCAGTCAATCAGTAAACATTCATTAAGCACCTATTATGTGTCTGGCACTGTGCTAAGCATTAGGGTCACAAAAAGAGGCAAAAGACAGTACCTGCCATTAAGGAACTTGCAACCTAATGGTAGGGGAAGAAATATAGACAAAGCAAGCTATATACAGGATAAAAAGGAAATGATAAACAGAGGGAAGGCACTAGAATTAAGAGGAGTTAGGGAAGGCTTCTAGTAAAAGATGGGATTTTAGTCAGAAAGCCAAGCAAGGCAAGTGGAGTTGAAGAAGGAAAGTGTTCCAGGCCTGGGGGACAGCCAGAGAAAATGCCAGGAGCCTAGAGATGGGGAGGGTCTTGTTCGTGGAGCAGCCAGGAAGCTAGTGTCACTGGATCGAAGAGAGAGGTGTAGGAAGACTGGAAGGGTGGGAGGGAGCCAGATTATGAAGGGCTTTGAATGCCAAATAAAGCAATTTATATTTGCTCCTGGAGGCAATGGAAGCCATTGGAGTTTATTGAGTGTGTGTATGGTGGGGTAGGGTTAGGAATGGCTGAGGGGGAAATGGTCAGATCTGTGCTTTAGGAAAATCAATTTAGTTGCTGAATGGAAAATGGATTGGAGTGAGGAGAGGCTTGAGGCAGGCACACCCCCCAGCAGCTATTGTAGTAATCTAGAAGTGAGGGCTTGGGGGCCTGCACTCGAGGGATAGCAGCCTCAGAAGAGAGAAGGGGACGTATTTGAGGTGTTGCAGAGGTGAAAATGACAGGCTTTGGCAACAGATTGGATGTGGGGGTGAGAGAAAGTGAGGAATCCAGGATGACTTAGCTTGTGACAAGGTCTGAGGGATGGGAAGATGGTGGTGCCCTCTGTAGCAGTAGAGAAGGTAGGAGGGGGCAGTGTTTAAGGGGAAAGATAATAGGTTCTGTTTTTGATGTGTCGAGTTTAAGATGTCTACTGGACATCCAGTTTGAGATGTTTGAAAGGCAGTTGGAGATGCAAGACTGAATGTCAGCAGAGAGCTTGGAGCCTGCGGGATGGGTAGGTTTGAGAATCATCAACCTACAGATTCATTCATGTATAGCTCCTGGTGCCTACTAGGTAGGTGCCCATAAATGCCTCTTGTTTGATTGAGCACCATAAACCAACTGCTTACTAAAGCAGAGCCCCGTGCTAGGGTTGGAGAAGACAGCAAAGGTGATTACAATATGAGTAGTGAGGATATACAACACTGATGCACAATGTCATGCAATAACTTTAGTAGAGAATGAAACATCAGAACGTAGGGCCAGTACAGGCAGAGAGGTGAGGCATGTATTAAGCACTCGCCAAGTGCCAGGCACTGAGCTAAGCCTGGGGTTACAAATAAAAGCGAGTAAGACAGTATCTACTGTTGAGAGCTTAAATTCTAAGGGGGGAAGATGAAGCAAAAGGGAAGAGGGTGGGGGGGGCAGAGAGAGTGCAAGAAATGAAGTGTGCATTGGGCTCTCTGAAGCTGGGGCAGCAATGATCTTGTTTACCCTGCGTGAGCAAGAATCGATGAGGAGCGCTAAGGCCCGAGATCTAGAGTTGGGGGAGGCCTTGGACGCCATCTGGTTCAGTGGCCTCGTTCACAGATAAGGACGGAGTGGAGGCCCGGTGCTGAATGGAGGTCAGCCTCATGGAAGAGATGGCATTTGGGCCCAGTTTTGAAGGATGAGTAAGATTTAAAAATCGTCAGGGGTAGTGGTATTTCAGGCATGGAGGATGCCGTAGGCAGAAGCCCTAGTAAGCTGTGAGAGGGCCAGCAGATAGTGTAGTTTGGCCAGAGGGTAGTGTCTGGAAGGAAAGAGTGTGAGATGAGGCTTGGCAAGGTAGAGTTACCTGAGTGGGTGCCGTAGATAGAGCACTAGGCCTGGAATCAGGAAGACCTGAATTCAAATCCAGCCTCAGAAACTTACTAGTCACGTGACTCTGGGCGAGTCATTTATTCTCTGCCTCAATTTCCTCATCCAAAATGGAGATGATAATAGCACCTACTTCACAGGATTGTTGTGAGGATCGAATGAGATGATAATTTAAAATGCTTGGCACAATGCCCGGCATGTAATGTAGGTGCTTAATAAATGCTTCTTTCTTTCCTTCCTTCTTTGGGTGAATCTACATGGCTCCAGGCCATTCCTTTTCCTTAACTCAGTCTTCTTTAATTCACAACTCCTGCCCTCATCCCAGGGAATTCAGTACTGCAGGACTTTCAGGTCCTGTGACCTGCACCTGCAGTCTGCCACAGCCAAAGGAATTACCCGCACCCAAAGCTTGCCTTCTCATAAGCGCTTTACGTACCATAAGGCGCCATAGAAGTGTTAACTTATTATCAAAGGCAAGATCTCCAGCTACCTGGCCCTGCTGCCTCTGAGTTATCACATCAGAAACAAAGTCCATCATCTTTTCATTCCACCATCAAACTCGGATATTTGTGGACATAGCTTTGCAGCCAGCCAGCAGCATCCTTGACATTACCAACTCTTGTCAATTCTACCTATGTAATACTTCTCTTGGGCCACTAGGTGGCGCCATAGTGCATAGAGTGCTGGGCCTGGAGTCAGGAACATGAGTCTTCCTGAATTCATATATGGCCTCAGACACTAGCAGGATGATCCTGGGCAAATCATTTCACCCTGCTTGCCTCAGTTTCCTCATCTGTCAAATGAGCTAGAGAAGGAAATGGCAAAACCATTCCAGTATCTCTGCCAAGAAAACCCTAAATGGGGGCATGAAGCGTTGGACATGACTGAAAAAACAACTAGACAACAACACCTCTCTCACCTGTCTTCTTCTGCCTCACACTGCCATTGATAATTCTAGGTCAGGCACCTATTACTTCCCACTTGGACTGTTACAATTCCTAGTTAGCCTCCCTGCCTCCGTTCTCTCCCCTCTCCGGCT